GCCGACGCCATCCTCGACTGGATGGACGAAGACGACGACGTCCGTTCGCTCGGCGCCGAGCGGGATTACTATTCGACGCTCGAACCGCCGATCCTGCCGATGAACGGCCCGATCTCGACGCTCGAGCAACTGTTGCAGGTCAAGGGCGTCACGCCCGAACTGCTGTGGGGCCTCGACCAAGACCGCAACTACGAAGTCTCTCCAGCCGAGGCCGCCGGCGTCGCGCTGCCGGTCGATAACTCCACGGGAGAACTGAGCGGGGGTTGGGCCTCGATGCTGACGCTCTATAGCGCCGAGGCCAATGTTCAGCCCGACGGCACTCCGAAGATCAACGTCAACGGCGACGACCTGCAGCAGCTGCACACGCAGATCGAGTCGGTCCTCGGGATCGACGCGGCCAACTTTGTGGTCGCCTACCGCCAGGGCGGTCCCGAAGAGGACCCCGACGCCCTCGAAGACGAAGCGACCGAGCCGGAGCAGCCCGAGGAGGTCGAGGCGCTCGGCGAAGGGGGAGGGGAGGGCGGCGGAAGCACACAGATGCAGGAGAAAGCCGCCGGCGCGATCACTATCGACTTCAATGCCCCCGCCGCCGAGGCGATTACCGACCCACTCGACCTCGTGGGCGTAAGAGTCCGCGTCGTCGAGGCGGGACAGCTCGAGCCGGCGATCGTCACGTCGCCGTGGCAGGAAGGGGACACCACGATCAACCAGATGGTCTCGACCCTGACGACGACCGACGCCACGTCGATCCCCGGACGGGTGAACATCAACCAGGCGCCGCGAGCCGTGCTGATAGGGCTCCCCGGCATGCCACCGAACGTGGCCGACGCCATCGTCGCCAACCGCGACCCGACTGCCGGTTCAACCCGCCCCGACCGCCTGAACGCCGTCTGGCTGCTGACGGAGGGATACCTGCAACTCGAAGAGATGAAGGCCTTGGCGCCGTACGTCACGGGGCAGGGGGCCGTCTACCGCACCCAGGTCGTTGGGGGCTACGAAGCGGGCGGCCCGATCCGTCGGATGGAAGTCGTGCTCGACGCCACGACGCTGCCGCCGCGGGTGGTGCTGCGCCGCGACTTGAGCCCGCTGGGCGCTGGCTTCGACCCCGCGCTGACGCTGGTCCCCGAGGGGGCTGGCGTACCGCAATAGATTCACCGCGGGGTGCGCCGAGGACGCGGTGAAAGAGGCAACTTGCTGCACATTCTCCGCGAACTCTGGGGTGAAATAAGCGGCTGCGATTGGCGTTCGGAGTCGCCCGCTGACTAAACTGAAAGGTCCCAGCTTTCCCCACGATCGAGTCCCGCCTTGCTGACCCTCGCCCTCCAGACCGACAGCCGTGGCGTCACCGCCGTGCTCGCCGACCGCCCGAAGGGGGGCTCGGTGCGGCTCGCTGGGTACGCCACGGTCGAACGCGCCCCGTCGGCGGATAAGCTGGCGGAGGCACTCCGTGCGGCGTTGCCGAAACTGCGCGGCGGAAAGGCACAGCTCGCCGTTGCGCTTGGGCCCGAAGACGTCCGCGTCAAGCGGCTCGCTGTACCGCCGGCGCCCGAAACCGAGTTGCCGCCGATTGTCGCGCTGCAGGCGGCGCGTGACGCGGCCGCGGACGTCGAGTCGATCGTCGCGGACTTCTCGCCGCCGCAGGCGGGACAAGAAGGGGCTCCGACGGTGCTCGCCGCCTGGGCGAGCGAAGAGGCCCTGGCGTTCTGGCGTGAGGTCGCCGAAGACCTGGGTGGCAGGTTGGCGGTCGCGACGCCGCGGCCGTTGGCGATCGCGCCTTCGACCGGAGAGGGCGAGCCCGTCATCTTCTTGGC